TGGCTATCAGTATGCAAAGGATTTAAAGTCGTTTTTGGTTTGGCTGCCAAGGTCCTGTTTAAAAACATAAATTAAAATGAAATGCAAAGTGACAATTTTTTAAATACTATTTTTAACAATAAATAATGAGAAGGATACACTGAAACAAAATTGTTTGTATATTGGTTATAGTATTTTCTGGTTCTGGTTCCAATATATATATATATATATATATATATTTTTTCATTTCATAATATTTGCTATACTCTCGCCATTTTATAATGCCATAAACGTAAAGTATTTATTTCATTTTTCCACCTCTTATACTTATTTCCATGAGCACCTCCTGGTGCAAGTGTACTTCAAATTCATACAATGTTTCGAAGTTTATATTCAATTATCATTATATCAATAAAATGTCCATCATTCATTCGCATACTTCATTATTTCGTTGGTTTTTCGTCATTTTTTCAGCACTCCCAGCAAAAATTTGCTGCCATCAAATATCGATATATTCGACAAAAATAAAACCCCAACCAACAATACGTGGTGTGTCTGGGAAAATTGGAAACACAATTGCCAAATGTTTTTTGTTGTTTTTTTATGAACAACAAATATGGGAATAAAACTTTTATGATCTGTCTTTACCTTGACAGCCAGCAAAAGCAACAAATAATGCTATTGGGTAAAAATAATAAATAACAACCATGAGAAAGTTTTTTTCGTTTATAAGTGTTTGAATATATAATTGTAATGGAACTTTGCATATAATTGGAACTATTATTTTGGCCATTAGTTTTCGAAATAAAGTACATGTTATTTATAAAAATTATATTATTTATATAAGTAGAATATGTTAATAAGTTCTACTCCGGTTGGTCTTTAAAGAGAGGAAAGGGATTGATATAACTCCCGTATATATTTTCGTCCGATTTAATGTAAATGGTGCATCAAAGTCCCTATATATCTTTCGATTTGCACGAAATTTGGCACAGCGTACTGAATTGAATCTAGAATGATGTGTGTTATGTTTCGTGAAAATCGGCTCAGATTAAGATATAGTTCCCATATATCTTTTCTTCCGATTTTATGTAAATTGTGTGTTAAAGACCCAAAGTATGTTCGATTAACACAACATTTTGTACAATGTACTCAAGTTAATATAAATTAATCTCTTGCAAGTGTCGACACGACACGAAATTTTCACAACCTATCAAATTCAGACTAGAATGGCGTTATTGCGTTTTTATACCCTACACAACTATGTTGTCAGGGTATTATAGCTTTGTGCAGCCCCAAAATTGTGTAACGCCGCGAAATATTGGTCCTAGACCCACCTTTAAGTATACCGCTCGTCATATCTCGACTACCTGAGTCGATATAGACGTATGTGTCATATCTCAAATAGCTGAATCCATCTAGACATGTCTGTCCGTCCGTCTCTCCATTATAATTTGTAAACACAATACAGGCCACAGTTATGGACCAATCTTCACGAAATTTTGCTTGTAGGATGGGTTCTGGCCAATTAAGACCCCTATTGTTTATGGAAAAGATTCGTTAATATTAAGGGGATGAAATGGACCAAAAACTTTATTTTTGTCGATTTTTCTGGTCGCTCCAGAGGCCGCAATTATGACCCAAACACCCCGAATTTTTGCACGGAGAAGGGGATCGGGCCAAAGAATAAGTATGCCTGTTTTGATAGAGATCGGTCAATATTTAGCTGGTCAAATGGACCCTGACTTTTGTGTGAAAAATTACAAAATTTGTATTCTATGGGGGTATATATTTGCACCTGAAGGTCCTAGACCCGAGAAGTTGATAGTATGTTCAAGAGGAGTGGTTGACATTTAAATTGATACCAATTATGTTGTAGTATGTACTCGGATGCGGGACTTAAACATAAATATTTACAGGTGCTTACGTATTCATATATTATTTAGTAACCCATCACCACAATAGAGGGCGGAAATCTAGCGCTGATCGATTTGAAATTTTTCACGAGGTTCAAGTTATGGTCACCGACAACGCCTATAATTTTCGGTGATGATCATATAATAAGTTTGGGATGAAGTGGAACGAAAACTTATTTTTGTGTGTGTTTTTTTTTTCGAGTCGATCTATAGGCCAAAATTGAAAGCCGAACATCACAACACAACCCATGGTGAAGAGAATCTGGACAAGTGATTAGAAGGGCTGTACTGAATATTTGTTGAGCTCTAGTCGGTCAAGAGGAGTAAATATCGCGAAATATTGCCTAAGCTCAGAATATAGATCCACAGAAAGTTATAGTTTCGTGGAAGTTGTGTAGGGTATCATATGGTCGTCCCCGTCCGACTATACTGCTCCGCTCACTGGTTTTTGAAAAAGCTTCCTCTGTCACAGGAATTTTTATACCCTTCACCACACTGTGGTACAGGGTATTATGTCTTTGTGCATATGTTTGTAACAGGCAAAAGGAATCGACATAGACACATTTGAAAATATGCATATAATTACTTTCTGAGTCGATTTATTCATGTCCGTCTGTCCGTACGTCTCTCCGTCGGTCTGTCCATGTTAAATTGTAAACAAGGTGCAGGTTGCATTTATTATCCGAATTGGATGAAATTTGGCACAAGTCACTTATTTGGCCCAAGGATGAACCCTATTGAAATTGGGAAAAATCGGTTCAGATTTAGATATAGCTCCCATATATATTTTCGCCCGATTTAAGGTAAATGGTGTACCAAAGTCTTTTCATATAATTCGATTTGCACGAAATTTGGCACAGCGTAATGAATTTTGTCTAGAATGATGTGTGATTAGTTTTGTGAAAATGGGTTCAGATTTAGATATAGCTCCCATATATATTTTCGTCCGATTTAAGGTAGATGGTGTACCAAAGTCCCTTAATAAGCGTAATTCAAAAATCAATATTAATATATTTTTGTCATTCTGTCAGCAAAGAAAGATCTACACTTTTTCTTTCGTGAACTTTGGAGTTACCTCTTTTCCTCATAAGCTGCATGATGTATTTTTTCAAATTATTCTAAAACTCAAGAATAACTCCTAAATATCACAAAGCAATTTTTTATACATTTTTTGATTACGGTTTTCAAAGAAAAAAAAACCAGTAAGGAAAGTAGTAAAGTCGGGCTGGGCCGACTATATGATACCCTTCACCACTTTGGGTATATTCTACATATGTATCCCAACGGACGACGCGTTTTTGTTATATATCTATATCTGAACCGATTTCAGGGAAAATTGCCAGAGACTAATTTATATTACTTCAGTACGTTGTTTCATTCGGCCTTGCTATAGATCTTTTCACGCAGCTTAGCAACATCATTTTAGACTTAATTCAGTACTTCAGTAGTGTTGGCGGTTTATTTGGGATACCATTTGTATTTTGTTTTTATAAACAACAACTATTTATTAGTGGGGAATGTATGGCATTGATTGCCGAGGGGAAAGGCAGGGAAGACTATAGTTTCGGATCACGCCACTGATCCTCATCAGTTCCCTTAGTTTTTTGTTGGAAAATTCTCCCCAGAAGCTATTGCTACTATACAAAAAACCTTTCAAACCCAAATGTCTCTTGTAATAAAGCGAAGTACCTAGCTGACCAACGTACCCTATACCAAAATTCGTGCAAATCGAAAGATATATAGGGTCTTTGGTACACCAATTACCTTAAATCGGATGAAAATATATATGGGAGCTATATCTAAATCTGAACCGATTGTCACGAAACTTTGCACACATCATTCTAGACTTAATTCAGTACGCTATACCAAAAATTTCCAGGGACTTTAGTGGACTATTTACCTAAAATCGGGCGAAGCTATATATGGGAGCTAAATCTAAATTTGTACCGATTGCCACGAAACTTTGCACACATCATTCTAAACTTAATTTAGTACGCTATTCCAAATTTCGTGCAAATCGAAAGATATATAGGGACTTTTGCACACAATTTACCTTAAATCGGACGGAGATATATATGGGAGCTATATCTAAATCTGAACAAATTTTCACGACTTGGCATACATCATTCTAGACCTTATTCATTACGCTGTGCCAAATTTCGTGCAAATCGAAAGATATATATGGACTTTGGTACACAATTTACCTTAAATCCGACGAAGATATATATGGGAGCTATATCTAAATCTGAAACGATTTTCACGAAACTTGGCATACATCATTCTAGACCTTATTCATTACGCTGTGTCAAATTTCGTGCAAATCGAAAGATATATAGGGGCTTTGGTACACAATTTACCTTAAATCGGACGAAGATATATATGGGAGCTATATCTAAATCCGAACCGATTTTTATGAAATTTTACACACATCATTCTAGACCTAATTCATTACGCTGTGCCAATTTTCGTGCAAATCGAAAGATATATAGGGACCGTTTACATTAAATCGGACGAAAATATATATGGGAGCTATATCTAAATCTGAACCGATTTTTCCCAATTTCAATAGGGTTCGTCCTTGGGCCAAACAAATGAGCCAAATTTCTTCCAATTCGGATCATAAATGCGACCTGTACTTTGTTTACAATTTAAAATGGACAGACAGACGGACGGACGGACATGCATAAATCGACTCAGAAAGTGATTCTATGCATATTCTCAAAAGGAACCATGGGTCTATCTCGATTATTTTTGCCTGTTACAAACATATGCACAAAGACATAATACCCTGTACCACAGTGTGGTGAAGGGTATAATCAGCTATAATTAAATACAGAAAATGACCCAATCAAAATTTAAAACATACCCATTTTAAAGAACAATTTCAAATGGCGGACAATTCATTATAAGTTCAATTATTTTAATTTTTATTTTTTAAATTTATTTGCTTATTTTGTAGTTTTAAATTTAAATTCTTAACAATCACTTTCTTTTGTCCCCTCACACAATTTTAAAGAAAACAAGAAAATCTCCCAGACATGTCTATCAATTACACTAATTGAATTGCCTATAACAATTATTTCATTCGTTCGTCCATCTTTACAGCTTAATGTTGCCGGTTTAACGAAGGCCTTAGTTGTTTACAAAGTCTATCAAACCATGTTTCGTGTTGTCAAGGAATCTGAAACGGTGGACAGTCGCCAACATTGTTTTCTGCTGCAGAGTGCCGGCCATGAGCCGCGCTATCTAAGTGTTGAGACACGACAAGAGCTATTGCGCATCGAGAATAGTTGGAATGCAGCCATAGTAACGAGTGTCATTAAATTGGGGGTAAGTAAACGAATTGAGGGGGAGTGGAGCCGTCGGCTCCCCCAAAACACAAGCAAAAACAAATAAAAAAGCAGGCCAATACAATATTCCTTAATACTATCAGTAACACCATCATCCTCACCATCATCCATATCGTCACCAGCACCACCTCAATACGAGACAATGTATTCATTACTTCCATTAACAATCTGCCTCACCCACGTTCCGTTTAACTATTGTTCGATGGAACGTAGAGTTCGTTGTGTGGTGGAACCATTAACAATACTGTTGTCACCATTTGGTTTGAGTGTGTGTGTGTTATCAAACATCAAATCACAACACAATACAAGACCACACTTTGGGATACGGATGGACAATGGCAAAACCATTGTGGCAGGTTTATAAAGTGTTTGGTTTTACATGCATACATACATATGTATACATATATCCCGCACAATCACAAAACAAATACTGTTATCTAGTATGTTCTTAATCTCAGTCAACTGCTGACATGTTGAAAAATGAATTTTTGTGACAATAAAATTGCTGTGATTTGTTTTGATATATCAAATTTGACAAATAAAAATATTCAATTTCAAAATCTGAAAACAGACAGTGGGTAGAAGGTATAAACCTCATTTTTTATGCGGAATATCTTACAAGGATCTTTAACAGAAACAATGTATAGACAGAAGAACTTCTACAAGTCTTCTTCATATTGATGTACTTGTAAATATTTTCTATAAACAGAAGACATTGGACAGGTACAGGTATAGGCGAACGGCCTTCCGTTGGCAAAGAAATAACTATAAACAGATATTCTATAGACAAAAACCCATCGACGTATTTTTTATAAACAATAGACCTTCTCTAGACCGAAGAAATTCTACTGGTCTCCTCCACAAGTAAACGACCTTCAATAGGTCTCTATAAATGGTAAGTCCTGAACTGGTCTTCTCCACAAGTAAGCATCCTTCCCTATAAATAGGAAATCTCTAGCTGGTCTCTTTTATCAAAAGAAGAACTTCAACAGATCTTTTTTTAATAAAATAAAAAGGGGATTATATGGGGAATACCCCAAAAAGGGGCCGAATATTAAAAAACGCGCTCAAGAACCCTAAAATACCGAAAATTGGGGGTATCCCTATATGGGGGCTATCCGAAAAAAATTGACATATATTCATAATTTTGTGTGGGGAGATTCGGAACCTATTAAGAACTCAAAATACTAAATTACAGCCAATTCGGCGGAAAAATACGATCAAAACCTCCTGAAAATTATGAGGTACCGTTATATAGGGACTACTATAAAAAGTGGACCTATATTAATGATTTTTCGTGGACACCAAATAGGAACCCAATGTAGCAAATTTCAACGAATTCGAATGAAAAACGTGCTCAAGAACCTCAAAATACCGAAAATTGGGGGTACCCTTATATAGGAGCAATGCCTAAACGTGGACCGATATAGCCCATCTTCGAACTTGACCTGCCTGCAGACAAAAGACGACTCTATGCCATGGTGGAGGGTATAAATATCTTCAGTGGAAAATCCTCGCCTAACAGTCCTTGACAAAAATCTTCTATAAAAATCCACCCTTATTTGTGTTCTACGCCCAATTGTCCTTCAAAAATCTTCATTGAAAAATCCTCCTTAATAGCCCTTGAAATGAACCTATTTGCATTCTTGAGAAAATCCTTCCATTTTTTGTGTCCTTCAAAAAATCCAACTTTAAATAATCCACGCCTTAATAGTCCTTGAAAAAATCTTCTTTGAAAAATCCACGCCTTAATAGGCCTTTGAAAAAATCTTCTTTGAAAAATCCACGCCTTAATAGGCCTTTGAAAAAATCTTCTTTGAAAAATCCACGCCTTAATAGTCCTTGAAAAAATCTTCTTTGAAAAATCCACGCCTTAATAGTCCTTGAAAAAATCTTCTTTGAAAAATCCACGCCTTGTATTCGTGGGCCTTTGCAAAAATCTTCTTTGAAAAATCCACGCCTTGTATTCGTGGGCCTTTGCAAAAATCTTCTTTGAAAAATCCACGCCTTAATAGTCCTTGAAAAAAATCTTCTTTGAAAAATCCACGCCTTAATAGTCCTTGAAAAAAATCTTCTTTGAAAAATCCACGCCTTAATAGTCCTTGAAAAAATCTTCTTTGAAAAATCCACACCTTAATAGTCCTTGAAAAAAATCTTCTTTGGAAATTCCACGCCTAAATAGTCCTTGAAAAAAATCTTCTTTGAAAAATCCACGCCTTAATAGTCCTTGAAAAAAATCTTCTTTGAAAAATCCACGCCTTAATAGTCCTTGAAAAAATCTTCTTTGAAAAATCCACGCCTTAATAGTCCTTGAAAAAAATCTTCTTTGAAAAATCCACGCCTTAATAGTCCTTGAAAAAATCTTCTTTGAAAAATCCACGCCTTAATAGTCCTTGAAAAAATCTTCTTTGAAAAATCCACGCCTTAATAGTCCTTGAAAAAATCTTCTTTGAAAAATCCACGCCTAAAGTCCTTCTATAAAATATTATTTAAAAAATCCAGGCTTAAAAAGTCCTTCTAAAAATATTCTTTAAAAAATCCACTCCTATTTCTCTACATGAAAAAAATCCACGCCTATTTCTCTACATGAAAAAAATCCACGCCTATTTCTCAACTTGAAAAATCGTCTTTAAAAATCAACGCCTATTTCTCTACTTGTAAAAAATCTTTAAAAATCCACGCCTATTTCTTTTCTTGTAAAAAAATCTTCTTTAAAAATCCACGCCAATTTCTCTACTTGAAAAATCGTCGTTAAAAATTCACGCCTATTCTCTACTTGAAAAATCTTCTTTAAAAATCCACGCATTCGGTTTTAAAAAATCCACGCCTTAATAGTCCTTGAAAATTGTTTCTCTGAAAAAACCCTTATTTAACAAATCCACCCTCATTGCTTTAATATCCTTATGAATACGATTTTCCCCGAAATTTAAAACCTTTCTAACTCAAGTTGTTAATGGGTTAATAATTGATTACTAATTTGTAGTTTTCATGTCAGGGTCCCAATAAAATAACTAACGAACGAAAATCGATAGTGACACACATACAAAACGTAAAACTTATTTTACATACATGACATGATAACGACACCATTACGTTACGCAGACTAGGAAGTGACCGCACCACTAAACAAAACAACAAAAACAACCCAAGTATAGACCTACCAATTTTGCAGAGGATGGAAAAGCCAGACAAGCAAATTAATGGTAATTTCTTGTTATGGGCACAGATAGTAAATGAATAATAGATAAACAACAACAAAACAAAAACTGTCTGAATAGCAAATTCACTTGACTGACTGACAGACTGGCGTATCAATGTCATGACATGGTTTTGGTTTTGCTGATTTTTTTTGTTAGGAACTTTAGCACCGATGACCTTCATCATCGTAGTGCCAGTGACAATTTGTGTGTATGTGTGTGTTGACTGAGAGTGGTAGGCCAAGGAGGAATATTTTGGGAATAAAATACTTGACAATTTAACATTAAGAAACTTTTAGAAAAAAACTAAACTTTTGGACCTAATGTTTATTTAATAGCTATGTAAATTAATATGATGGATTATGTGAATATTTGGACACACACACACATATATTATCGAATATAAATCCTGTAATTTCGTAGGGATGAACAGGGAAACATTTAATGGTAAACAATTTTTAAGGACTAAGTTTGATTTAATTGGAGATTATTTTTTCAAAAACTATAACAGCAAAAGACGAGGTTTTTTAATATAATATTTTTCAAGGACTATAATATTTTTCAAGGACTATCATAGCATTAGGCGTGGATTTTTTAAATAATATTTTTCAAGGACTATCATAGAATTAGGCGTGGATTTTTTAAATAATATTTTTAAAGGATTAGCATCAGTCATTAGGCGTGGAATTTTTAAATAATATTTTTCAAGTATCATCCGAGTTCTAAGTGTGGATTTTTTAAACAATATTTTTCAAGGACTATCCCAACCATAGGCGTGGTTTTTTTTAAATAATATTTTTCAAGGACTATCATAGCAATAGGCGTGGATTTTTAAATAATATTTTTCAAGGAGTAATACAGCATTAGGCGTGGATTTTTTTAAATAATATTTTTCAAGGAGTAATACAGCATTAGGCGTGGATTTTTTTAAATAATATTTTTCAAAGACTAATACAACAGTAGGCGTGGATTTTTTATTAATATTTTTCAAGCACTAATACAGGAGTAGGCGTGGATTTTTGAAATAATATTTTTCAAGCACTAATACAGGAGTAGGCGTGGATTTTTGAAATAATATTTTTCAAGGACGTATTTTTGAAATAATATTTTTCAAGGACTATCATAGCTAAAAGCGTGGATTTTGTAAATAATATTTTTCAAGGACTAGCATAGTTTTATGGGTGGATTTTTAAATAATATTTTTCAAGGACTATAATAGCATTGGGAGTGGATTTTTTAAATAATATTTTTCAAGGACTATCATAGCATTTGTCGTAGGTTTTTTAAATAATATTTTTCAAGAGATTTCAGAGCTATAAGTGTGGAGTTTTTAAAGAAGAATTATCTAGGACTGAAAGCTTGTTCAGGACTGTTTGTAATTAATTTATTTACCAATATCGATACAAAATATCGATACAAATCATCACTTCGTATAAAATTGCATATTTTATTCAATTATCGTAAATTTCTTTAAAATAATTTTCCCATTGCCTTATATTTCCATACACCCCGCCACCACCTTTACATTTATCACCCGCGTATATCAATAAATATTTTCCATGCTCTTGTTTGCCCCACAGCCATTACCGTCTAATGATCCACATAATTCCTTTATTATCCGACAGAATAGCATCGTTTGTATTGCTGATGAACAGTCCTTTCATGTAGAGGCTCAGGGGCTTCTGTTTTGTGTTATTTTTTTCTTAAACATTCTTATGTCTGAGAAATCTTACTGGAGGTTGATTGTATGTATGTCGGTCTGCGTAAACACGAAGACGATGACACATACATAAACGTTCAAGAATACACCGAATGAAATCAAGTGAAAATTCCCTTTTGAAAATATGCCGCTGTGAAGACGAAAACGGGTAGGTGGGAGAAAAAACTTTTCAATCAAAAATTTCTTGAAAAACATAAGTTATGAAAAGATTTTTCTTAGTGATAGAGGCAAATCTTTTTTTTCTGAAGAGAATACATTAATATAAAAAATGTGGGTAAATAGAACGAATTATTTTATGGGAAATTTTAAGGGAATAGCTGAATGTATAGCAAAATATTTAAAAAGCTGAATGGTGATGAATATTCTTTAAACAATCTTTAAAAAATCCACGCTTATAGCATTGATGGTTCTTGAAAAATATTATTTAAAAAATCCACGCCTATTGTTGAGAAATATTTGATAATGATAGTCCCTTAGAATTACCTTTTAATAATAAAGTACTTCTGTTCATTGAAGTAAAATATTTCTTTAAATTTTTTAACAAATTTCCTTTGATTAAAACTTTGTATAAATCATAAAACACAATTTCACTTCAATTTAACTTTCATCTCGTCCATGTCTCCCCCGCCCCTGGGTATTCGAATACATTAAAGTTTCACCTGCACGCAAATCTAATTTACCAAGGGAAAAGTGAACTAACTGTCTTTTGCGGAGTCAGTTGAAAATTTTACCGCTAACAATTTCACACTAACTTACATCGCGAAACTAACATACATCTCACGTCACGTGTGTATGTAAGTGTGTGTGTGTGTGAGTTCATGTGCACTACGTTAACGACACGTCAAACAACGAGTTCCAAACGGAAATGCAGGCATTAAGAAATTGCCAAAGTACAGAGAAAAATTGCCGCTTTTTGTTGATGCATGTTGGCGAAAAACGAGTTGTTTTTGTTGTATTAGAAAGGCCTAGCATATCATGGCATACGTACATACATACATGAGAACATACCACTACTAGAGAACATTTTTACAGAAAAACGCCAAAAACGGAAAAGTTCATTGAACCGTTGTGTGTTTCTATTGTTTTTTGCATTTTTGGTCGTCGTCATCGTCCTCGTCAAGTTGGTGGCCAAGGCTAATTTCATTTGAAATTTTCTTTTGTTTCTTCTCGCTTCTCCGTCGATTTCGTGGCTTGGAATACTCTGTAAGGAATACTGTTGTCTGACATTGTTTTTTTAGCTTAGAAAACGTTAGGGAAAAATGCTACATTTTACGTTATCTTAAATGTAAATCAATAACGAATTCGTGCCTCGGCGGTTGTCACGAAACTCTAATCAGCTTAAATCCATAAGAAATATTGTATGAATCGGAATATCTTAGAAAATGTGTACAACATCTACTTCCGTACATTTCAAGTGGGGGATATATTAAGAAAACTGTTGCTGAAAAGGTTGCAGGGATTTAAGGACTATAACAACAATAGACAGGGATTTTTTTTGTAGAAGATTTTTCAAAGGACTATCACAAAAACAGGCGTGGATTTTTTAAAGAAGATTTTTCGAAGGACTAACAGAGCAATAGGCGTGGATTTTTTAAAGAAGATTTTAAAAAGGACTATCACAGCAATAGGCTTGGAATTTTAAAGAAACTTTTTCGAAGGACTATCACTGCAATAGGCGTGGATTTTTTAAGAAGACTTTACGAAGGACTATCACAGTAATAGGCGTGGATTTTTTAAAGAAGATTTTTCGAAGGACTATCACAGCAATAGGCTTGCAATTTTAAAGAAAGTTTTTCGAAGGACTATCACAGCAATAGGCGTGGATTTTTTAACGAAGATTTTTCGAAGGACTATCACATCAATAGGCGTGGATTTTTTAAAGAAGATTTTTCAAAAGACTATCACAGCAATTGGCGTGGATTTTTTAAAGAATACTTTACGAAGGAATATCACAGCAATACCCTTGGATTTTTTAAAGAATACTTTACGAAGGCCTATCACAGCAATACCCTTGGATTTTTTAAAGAATACTTTACGAAGGCCTATCACAGCAATACCCTTGGATTTTTTAAAGAAGACTTTACGAAGGACTATCACAGCAATAGGCGTGGATTTTTTAAAGAAGACTTTACGAAGGACTATCACAGCAATAGGCGTGGATTTTTTAAAGAAGATTTTTCGAAGGACTATCACAGCAATAGGCGTGGATTTTTTAAAGAAGATTTTTCGAAGGACTATTACAGCAATAGGCGTGGATTTTTAAAGAAGTTTTTTCGAAGGACTATTACAGCAATAGGCGTGGATTTTTTAAAGAAGACTTTTCGAAGGACTATTACAGCAATAGGCGTGGATTCACAACAATCACAGCAATTTTTAGAGAAGATTTTTCGAAGGACTATTACAGCAATAGAGGTGGAGTTTTAAAATAAAAATTTTCGAAGGACTATCACAGCAATAGACATGGATTTTTTAAATAATATTTTTCAATAATCATCAAGGCTATATGGGTGGCTTTTTAAAAGATATTTTGAAGGACTTTTAATGATATAAGCGTGGATTTATTAATGAATATTTGACAAAGGCCATCAAGGCCATAAGAGTGGTTTTTTAAAGAATAATTTTCAAGGACCATCAAGATTAAGAACGTGGATTTTTTAAGGAATATTTTTCTAATACGATCAAGGCTATAAACGTGGATTTTTAAGGAATATTTTCCAAGGATTTTTCCATGGTTATGGCGTGGTTTTTTTAAAGAATATTTTCAAGGACCCTCAATGCTATAAGTGTGGATTTTTTAAAGAATATTTTTCCAGGACCATCAACGCTAAAAGCCTGCATTTTTGAAAGAATATTTTTCAAGGGTTATCAAAGCTAAGAGCATGTTTTTTTTAAGAATATTTTTCAGGGGTCATCAAGGCTAAAAGCGTGTCTATTTTTAAGAATATTTTTCAGGGACCATCAAGGCTAAAAGCCTGCATTTTTTAAAGAATATTTTCCAAGGATCTTTAAGGCTATTAGCCTGTATTTTTAAAGAATATTTTCAAGGACCATCAAGGCTATTACTCTGGATTTTTTAAAGAATATTTTTAAGGACTATCTCACCGTCTTTCTTTAAGTGGCTCGTTTAAATAATAGTTTTCAAAGATTATTACAGCAAGGATTTTTTAAATAATAATTTTTAAGGATTTTTATACCCTATACAACTATGTTGTCAGGGTATTATAGCTTTGTGAAGCCCCAAAAGTTTGTAACGCCGCGAAATATTGGTCCTAGACCCACCTTTAAGTATACCGATCGTCATATCTCGACTAGCTGAGTCGATCTAGACATGTGTGTCCGTCCGTCCGTCTGTTCGTCTGTCCATTATAATTTGTAAACATGATACAGGCCACAGTTATGGACCAATCTTCACGAATAGGATGGGTTCTGGCCAATGAAGACCCCTAATGTTTTTGAGAAAGATCGGTTAAAATTTAAGGGATGAAATGGACCAAATACTAATTTTTTCTCGGTTTTTCTGGTCGCCCCAGAGGCCGCAATAATGGCCCGAACTTCGCGAATTTTTACATGGAGAAGGGGATCGGGCCAAAGAATAAGCATGCCTGTTTCGATAAAGATCGGTCAACATTTTGCGGGTCAAAGGGACCCCGACTTTTGTGTGAAAAATGACAAAATTTGTATTCTATAGCATATATATTTATCACTGAAGGACATAGACCCAATGAGTTGATATTATATATTATATATATATTGTTGTATGTGCTCGGATGTGGGAGTTACACCTAAGTATTTACAGGTATCTCCGTATTCGTATATTATTTAGTAACCCATTATCACTCTAGAGAGCGGAACTATAGCCCTGATCACTTTGAAATGTTCCATGATGTTCCAGGTATGGTCAAGGACAACGCCTATAATTTTCGGTTATGATCAGATAGTAATTTTGGAATGAAGTGGACCGAAAACTTCATTTTTTGTGTTATTTTCGAGTCGATCTATAGACCACAAATGAAAGCCGAACATCACAACACAACCCATGGTGAAGGGAATCTGGACAATAGCTGTACTGAATACTCGTAATATTCGGAAAATATGTCAGTGTGAGGAAGATGTTCTGTTTGCCTCTAATCGGACAAGAGGGTGCAAATATCACGAAATATTGACCAGTCTCGGAATAAACATCCGCAGAAAATTTGTGTTACGTGGTAGTTGTGTAGGGTATCGTATAATCGGCCCCGTCCGACTATACTACTCCGCTCACTGGTTTAAATAATATTTGTCAAGGACTATCACAGCAATAGTACATCTTGTTTTCAAAGTGATGTAGAATGTCAACTTGGACGTCCAACGTTGAGCCTTTCGTTCCTGGTTCCACTATGAATCTCCAAGGAATATGTTGATTTGTATACCCTCCTTATGATAAAAAACTCAATCCCCTATTTACAAAAAAAAATACATCCATGAATGGACGGATATCCGGACTTAACATAGTTAATAAATAAAATATTTTCCTCCTCAGATTTTTGTGTCGTATTTAGAAATGAGCTTTATTCTGCAGTTACTTTGCAAGTGCTTTCAAACTGCTTACAGAAAAAAAGGAAGTCAACAACAAAACTGCAACAGCAAAAAAAATCAAAAACAACAACAACACTAATATCAACCATAACAACAAAAATCTTTTTAATCATCTGTTATACTTTTTTTATGGAATTTTTATGTTTTTTGTGTAAACACACCAAATAGAAGACAAACTTATTTCAATGTTTTTGTTCTGCATTTTTATTCGTGATGGTGGTGGTCTTCTCATCCATCCATTATACTCCACTTCCTGTTTGGACATTGGTGTGTAATAATGTGTGCGTGTTTTTTTCTTTCTTTCTTGACGTTGCAGCGCAAAACATTTGCCGTCTCGCATCATGGCAAAAGTGGCGGTCTGACGTTGGATTGGCAAACGGGATTCGCATTGGCTGAGGGTGCCGACTCGGCCATTGTATGGCAGTATAAATTCTCACAGCTGCGAGGTTCCAGCGATGATGGCAAATCCAAGCTGAAGTTACATTTTCAGGATCATGAGACGCGAGCTATTGAAACAAAAGTAAGTACAAACAAAATACCGTTATGACTAAGCTAAGTATTTGACTTAAGTATATGTATATGTGAGGGTTGGGTATGGATATGGGGAAGAAGGTATAATGATTGTTGGACCCGCATAGCATTCAATGCGAGTAACTGTGGTATGTTTGTGTACGTTATTGTGTTAATGAATAAATAAATGATTTATAAATGAGAACGGAACAAAAATAACATCACTCGCTCTCCAGAAACATAAGTAGTAGTAAATATTTTTTTTTTTGCCATTAAAGTTGTGTACTTTGCTCTTTAAATAGCGACTATTTTGCTCCGCTGAAGTGGTTCCATTATTTTGTTTAGTTATTGTTTTAATTTTTCTATTGCTAATTTATGATTTTTTTCCGAGAGATATTTATTACGTGAGACATTTCAGTGTCGAATGGAAAATGCAGTCGATCTTCTTTATAACTTTTGTTCCAAATTTTAGCCCATAGTCTTATGAAGTAAGTTGCGATCATCCATATAAGATAGCCGCAATTTGGTATTCCGGTTTCTAAGTAAATTTGGTCACATTTGTTATTGTTGTTCCTGTTGTGAACATCGACTTAGAAAACGATTCCATCCATATCCTCATGTAATTATGGATCACAAAGACATAATTAAAATCCGTCCTGACAGAAAATTTGGAATATAGGTCCATATTTTGCCATCTTTCAACGTTCCGCACGTTCGTTATAGTAAAATTAACGACTTATTCACTCAGATTTGTCTTCCTTCCCTTCTACCAACTAAAATGTCTCATATATATTTCGTTTAATTACAAAAGTAAACCACTTATAGTTATAACAAACTCATTTAATTTTTATTCCATTATTTCAATTAATTTTTCTTGTTGTTGTTGTTGTTTATTGTTCCATTTTAATAATTTTTTTTGTTTTTGCCACAACCACTTTATTGGTTGATGAGAAAGTGCTTTTAGTTTCTAGAGTTGTTATTGTTTTTCGTTTAAATTTTCAATTCGAAAGAATCGCTTTTGTTTAATTGCTCTATAATTAATTTAAAATAGCGTAGAGATCGTTTGCAAGGGTGGTAGTTAGACTAAATGCTTCATAAGAATAATATAAGGGGTGTACGAAATTTTTAAGGCGGAAGACATAATTAGTTGATGAAAGGTAACTATATAACATATTTGGTATCATATTAATAAATATGTTGGTATGTGTGTGTACACTAGAATCGTAGCTTGTACCTGTTCAATACATTCAGATACATTTTAATCTATTCAATAGTAAACTTACAAAATACTACATACATAAATCTTTCTTCCAAATATTATAAACATTGGCCCACATTTTAAGGTGGACTCCATAGACCAACTTGTTCGGTATTTTGAGGATACTGGCCGCGTATTTAGCGGAATTGGCTCTATATAAAGATTCCAACCAGTGTTGTCAAAACTTTATTGATAAAAACTGCTAGATTTTGTTTAGAAAGTGCCAGAAAATGCTAAAAAATTAAAAAAGTGCCAAAGGAAGTGCTAAAAATTGTATAAGAGAAATTGTAGAATTGACTGTAATTTGACATTTTGGATTCTCATTAGGTACAAATTTCCCTACCAAAAATTATCAATGTGTCTATGTTTCGGGATTGGACGTCGGCACGTTTCTCCATCAAAATAATCACTAACCAGTGAGCGGAGCAGTATAGTCGGACGGGGCCGACCATACGATACCCTACACAACTACCACGGAACTCAAATTTTCTGCGGATGTTTATTCCGAGCCTGGGCAATATTTCGTGATATTTGCACCCTCTTGCCGATAGAGGTAAACAGCACCTCTTCCTCACACTGACATATTTCCGAATATTCAGTACAGCTATTGTCCGGATTCCCTTCACCGTGGGTTGTGTTGTGATGTTCGGCTTTCATTTGTTATTATAGGCGTTGTCCTTGACCATACCCGGAACCTCATGGAAAATTTTAAAGCAACCAGCGTTACAGTTCCGCTATCTAGAGTGATAATGGGTTACTAAATAATATACGAATAAGGAGATACCTGTAAATATTTAGGTGTAACTCCCACATCCGAGTACATACGACAATATAATTGGTATCAATTTAAAGGTCAACCACTCCTCTTGGATATACTATCAACATCTCAGCTCTATGTCCTTCAAGGACAAATATATACGCCCCAGAATAAAAATGTTGTAATTTTTCACACAAATGTCAGGGTCCATTTGACCCGCTAAATATTGACCGATCTTTATCAAAACTGGCATGATTATTCTTTGGCCCAATCCCCATCTCCATGTAAAATTCTGGATTTTTGGCCCATAATTGCGGCCTCTGGAGCGACCAGAAAAACCGACAAAAATTAAATATTTGGTTTATTTCATCCCCTAAATATTAACCGATCTTTACCAAAAACAATAGGGGTCTTCATTGGCCAGAACCCATCCTACATGCAAAATTTCGTGAAGATTGGTCCATAACTGTGGCCTGTATCGTGTTTACAAATTATAATGGACAGACGGACGGACACACATGTCTAGATCGACTCAGCTAGTCAAGATATGACGATCGGTATACAACATAGTTGTGTAGGGTATAAAAAGTGCTAGAAATTGTAGAATTTGCTGTAATTCCACATTTTGAATTTGCATTAAGTACAAATTTCCCCACCAAAAGTTATCAATGTGTCTATGTTTCGGGATTGGCCCTAGAGAACGAAATGTTGTGGACGTCGGCATGTTTCTCCATCAAAATAACCACTAAAAAGTATTAATATCAGTTTCTTTTTTTTTTTTTTTTTTGTTTGGGGGGGGGGGGGGGGGTGTTTTTAGAGAATGACTATATGCAGAAAACTTCCAAGGTGAAGGTTTGTACATAGTCCTCATATTAAAGTACTGATCTATCTTCTTTACTTTGAATATTTTAGACACATTCTCTGGGTTCTTGTGGGGTAGGATATATTTTTGCGGACAATTTTCTGCATAGGTATATGTTTGGACATATCCCCCATACAAAGGTTACATCTTATTTTCGTTCTTTTAAAATTTAGAACCTTTCTCCGCCGAAGTGGCTGTATTTAAAAATACAAAGGCCCTCTTAAACGGGTTCTACATTTTACTAAATAAAACACATACTACCAAGCGATGCTATAGCACCAATTACCTAAAATCGGATGAATATATTGAAAAACTTTGCACATATCCTTCTCGACTTAATTTAGTACGTTATGCCAAATTTCGTGCAAATCGAAAGATATATAGGGACTTTGGTACACAATTTACCTTAAATCGGACGAAGATATATATGGGAGCTATATCTAATTCTGAACCGATTTTTCCCAATTTCAATAGGGTTAGTCCTTGGGCCAAATAAATGAACTGTGCCAAATTTCATCCAATTCCAATCCAAACTGCGACCTGTACTTTGTTTACAATTTAACATGGACAGATGGACGTACGGACATGCATAAATTGACTCAGAAAGTGATTCTATGCATATTCTCAAAAGGAACCATGGGTCTATCTCGATTATTTTTGCCTGTTACAAACATATGCACAAAGACATAATACCATGTACCACAGTGTGGTGAAGGAAATAAAAAAATAAATAAATAAAATAAACATGCTAGAAAAGTTGCTAATGTACTTTTTTGATGCTAAACGTGTTTGAAAAGTGCTAAATCTAGCACTAAAAGTGCTAAATTGGCAACACTGATTCCAGCCGATATAAACATCTATATATTCTTGATGAAAATATAATTCTATGACGGATGACCTATGTCCTTCTGTTTGTCTGTCCATCATCTGTTGAAGTCACGATAGAGCTCGCAATATATTAGGTTGTGGAAAAAGAAATACATTTTTGTAAGTGGTTTAAAACAGTTATGGTCGATTTTTAGGTCCTGGGCGATGTTACGACTGCTAACATCCGATTTTATCGATATTTTCGACGACCGACCTACCTGTGCGAGGTGCATCTTTAAAATCAAAAATTCCTCAATGGAATCTACGAAACCAAATTTGAATATAATTGACTGTTACAACATCGGAACCATAAACACCATTCACAATTTTAGCCGCTTAGCTTGCAATTTCGCAGTTGTCAAAGATTTAACACCGTGTAACTCACAAATGAAGGTACCAAACAAAAAAACAGCAAAATATTTTTCACCAATGAATTTCTTTTTCCCCAAAAAAATAAAACATAGATCTTTGAAAATTTTGACATACAATGCGGCGCTCCTTGGTGTTGGAAATGGGATATATTGGTCCACTTTTTTGCTTAGCCCTTATATAACGGTTCACAACCGATATTTTGAATGTATTAGCCGCATATAGGTCCAACTTTTGATATGGTTCTCAACCAAAAGTCCCGCCCTATTTTCGGTATTATCAAGCTTTAACCCAATTTTTCATCAAAGTGACTATATTTTATCATATCGGGTTCCTTGGTAAATAATAAACTTCTTCCAAGAAATTATTTAAAATAGGTTAATGTTTTAAAATAGCCCCATACAAATATCCCGCTCAATTTTTCGTTATGTTCCTATCCCAATTTTCTAACCTGAGTATCTGTAAATTCGATCATTATTTTTTCATGGAATAAGCAACCTGGTAGTATAATTACATTGCCTCCATATATAGTTCTGATCAATTAAGGGAATTTTGAATGCACACCACGTGGTGGGGGTATAGAAAGTTAGACCGAAGTTACGAAGTTTTTCCGTGTGTATACCTTTCACCACGTTGTGGTACAGGGTATTATGACTTCGTGCATATGTTTGTAATATGCAAATGGAAACGAGATAGACAAATGGTTCCTTTGAGAATATGTCAACTGTCAACGTTAAATTGTAAATAAAGTACAGGATGCATTATTTGGCCCAAGGACGAAACCTATAGAATTTTATTAAAATCGGTTCAGATTTAGATATAGCACCCATATATATTTTCGTCCGATTTTATATATATAGTGCTCCAAACACCCTATGCTTGTCCAATTGAGATGACATTTCGGACAATGTCTTGAATTGAGTCTAGAATAACGTGTGTTAAGTTTCATTGAAATCATTATTTTTTTCGGCATTTTCGGCGATTTCTCGTAAAGTATCGATCAAACAATTTCAGATTTATGCTCCATGGAGGGGTGACATTTCGCAGTAAAAAAATTATTTTGCTGTTTTTTGTTCGGTGCATTCAGTATTCAGGGTGTTAAGCATTCAGGGTGTTAAAATGGAACTGAACAAAGAGAAAATTCGGTAAATTTTACAGGTTTTCTTTGACAAAGGCGAAAATTCAAGCCAAGCGGCTAAAATTGTGAATGGTGTTTATGGTTCCGATACTGTAACAGCCAATCATGTGCAATTTTGGTTTCGTAGATTTCGTTCCGGAATTTTTTGATGTTAAAGATGCACCTCGCACAGCTAGGGCGGTCGTCGAAAATATCCATAAAATCGGATAAATTATCGAAGCTGACCGGCATATTAGCAGTCGTAACATCGCCTAGAATCTGAAAATCTACAATAAATCTGTTTTAAACCATTTACAATTGGCCAGAAACGACCAGAATTAGCCAACAAGAGAGGAATCGTGTTCCACCAGGACTTCGGGAACTTGGTTGGGAAGTTTTAATGGATTCGTCATAGATCCCGGACTTGGCACCAAGCGATTAGCATATTTTTCTTGCATTGCAAAATTGCTTTAATGATAAACCAGTAAGGAAAGTAGTAAAGCCGGACTGGGCCGACTATATGATGCCCTTCACCACTTTGGGTACATTCAACATATGTATCCAAAAAGACGTCGCTTTTTTGAAGAAATTTTGACATGAAATTGAACGAACTTAAATATGTGATTTTTATGACTTTCTGGAACCTATGCTAAATTTCATTTGATTTGGGCAAGTTTAGAGTCGTTTGCGCACAGTGGGACAGATTTGTGTAAATCGATTTAAAGCAAATTTGACACACGCTATTTGGTATCTTGCACTGTTTAAAATTTAATCTCAATAAATAAGTCGAAATTATATATGGAAGCTACGATATACCTATATCTGAACTGATTTGAAGCAAACTTGCCATCTTTAGTGCACAATTTATTTAAAATCGGACGAAAATATATATAGGAGGTGTAGACATCATTCTAGACTTAATTCAATACGCTATGCCAAAATTGGTGCAAATCGAATGATTTTCAGAGACTTTGGTGCTCCATTTACCTAAAATCGGACGAAACTATGTATGGAAGCTACATCTAAACCTGAACCAATTTTCACGAAACTTAGCACACATCATTCAGGACTTAATTCAGTACCGTATGCCAAATTTCGTGCATATCGCAAGATATATAGGGACTTTGGTATTCCATTTACCTTAAATCGGACGAAAATATATGGAAGCTATATCTAAATCTGATTCGATTTTCTCGAAACTTGACACACGTTATTCTAGAGCTAATTCAGTACGCTATGCAATATTGCCTGTAAATCGAAAGATATATAGGGACTTTGGTGCCCCGTTTACCTTAAATTGGACGAAAATATATATGGGAGCTATATATAAATCTGACCCGATTTTCTCGAAAATTGACACACGTCATTCTAGACTTAATTCAGTACGCTATGCCAATATTCGTGCAAATTAAAAGACTTCCAGGGATTTTAGTGGACTATTTACCTAAAATTTGACGAAGCTATATGGTAGCTATATCAAAATCTGAACCGATTTTCACGAAACTTTGCACACATCATTTTGGACCTAATTCAGTACTCTCCTCCAAATTTCGTCCAAATCGAGAGATATATAAGGACCTTTGTGCCCCATTTACCTTAAATCGGACGAAACTATATACGGGAGCTATATCTAAATCTGAACCGATTTTTCTCAATTTCAATAGGGTTCGTCCTGGGGCCAAATAAGTGAGCTATGCCAAATTTCATCCAAATCGGATAATAAATGCGACCTGTACTTTGTTCACAAAAATACATGGACCGACAAACGGACATGCGTAAATCGACTCAGAAAGTGATTCTATGCATATTCTCAAAAGGAACCATGTGTGTTAATTCCTTTTGCCTGTTACAAACATATGAACAAAGACATAATACCATGTACCACAGTGTGGTGAAGGGTATAAAAATTGGTATCTAAAATTGACTTCTAGTGTTTTTTGCTAATAGAGAGCAACAAATCATACAACAACATATTTTCCTCAAATCGGACATTCCGAAGCATGTTAAATAAAATCCTATAGTTCATATAAAAATAATCTCTTCTATGTACCCAAAGTGGCGAAGGGTATCATATAGTCGGTCCAGTCCGACTTTTGAACTTTTCTTACTGTTTTATTACTACAAAAATCTGATGACAAATACCTTCATTGGTATAATTATTTAGCAGTTTACTCATAAATTATTTTAAGTATTTAAACTACGTGCAATTTAAAATCTCTTTAGATTTAATCTTAAAAACAACTTCTCATAAACATAATAAATAAAAAATCTTTGTAGCGTTAATTAATTAAATTCATTTAGTCAATAATCATTTTGTTAATGCATTGCTCTCTTTCTCTTTTTTTCTTGCTTGGGTTTCTGTTTATTTTCATGTGGCATCATCATCATCGAACGATTCGAATGAAACGAACCAAACCAAAAAAAAATATCAAACTCCTATAAAACAACAACAAATTCTCACAAAAAATAAATAAAAACAACAACAAATTGGATGACAGGAACTGGAATGTCAAGTACTGCAGAGTTTGCTATTTTGTATGCATGCGTTTCTGACAGCTAAAGTTGCTTCAGTTGATCCGGCCTTTTTGAGTTCTATACAGCAGACTTAGACAGCAACTACAACTACAACAAAAAGAATACAAAACTCCTGAGGCTGATAATGATGATAACGAGCGGTAATAGTATTTCTAACAAAAAAAATGAAGGAAACAACAACAGCAACTACATTTCAAACAGGACTTGTTTGTTTGTTCGTTCGTTATGTTTTGTTTTCTGTAATCTGTAATAGTATTGTAGATTGCTTTAGAGATGAAACTAAGTGTAGTTTTGAAAATTGATAATTATTTTTTTGTTTTTGTGTGGAATGTTTTTGCTAAAACTTTTAATGATACGTAAGTATTAAATAAAAATTAAAACAAAAGCTACAACTACAAGAACATCTAAAAATGACACAAGGACAAGGAACTATACATACGTATAAAATAAAACAAAAATATCCACTGTCTCTCTCTCTCACACACACATTGAGGGGGATCTATATTGTATTAGTGTATACAGCAACAACAGCAACAACCAAAACACATCAAACCTAATTTGTCTTCTTAATATTAAAAAAAAACCACAAACACACACAAATTCCGTAGGAAATCAATTAAAGCTTATAAATGTTGTTACAACATTTAATTGCAAGTCTTTTATTTAAAGACTTGAATAATACCAAAAAAATCCACTTAAAAGTAAAACACATCTACACACACACAAACACTGATTAGACTTAATAATGGTGGAAATCCACAAGAAACAAATTTTTTTAGATAAACAATTTATATAATAAATTTGTATAAAAAAGGAAAATTAAAAAAAAATAAATATTTATTACTTATTATCTACTATGAAAGAAACAAAAATAAAATAAATAAATTATATTAGCTGAGATATAAAAAAGCTCATTTACTATATATAAATAAAAATAATAAATTTTTAGCAAAGCTTAAAGTAAAAAATTTAAAAAACCTATTTATAATAAAATTTTTTTTAGTGTCTAATAAACGTCGGTATACATCGACTCAAATAATATTCAACAATATTACAAAATAATATTAAAAATTTTAAATACATATTTACTTAAATAATTTTTTTTATTATTATGAAATATTTCAAGATTTTATAAAATAGCAAAGGAGTAATGTTAATATCCGGTCGAATGCACCTATTGGGTTGTATACGAAAGACCTGGGTTATTATATAAAATCCCCAGAAGAACAAAATTTCATATGTCAAAGTTCGTAGATATGATCTTTTTTTCTGGAGACCATATAATGCATGAATTTATAGCCATTGTATTTTATTTTCAGTTGCATTTCTGCAAAATAGTTCTACTTTCTCACTCGATTTCTTGTGTATCCTTTTCTTCCTTATTATACTGTGCGACAAGATTTTGGCTGGGTAAAATTTCTATAAGGTACGAAGGAACTTGATTTTTATATAAAAGCACCAGATGAAAAAAAATCAAAGTTCGGAGCTATGACGTGATTATTTTTTTGCTAGTGACCCCATTATACATTAAGATATAGTTTCAAATCTAAAACGAATGGGGAATATTTTTGTAGAACATATCGTCCTTCTCACTCGTTTCCTTGTGTGTCCTTTTCATTCGTCATTTTTTGAACCGGTCCCCAATTATTACAAGAAGTGATTTTTCATCCTCGCAGTATTCTACAAAAATGTTGCTCATACGATTTTAGGTAGGGTCCTCAAAGATGAGAAATCGTTATTTTAAAGATTTAATGGACTTTTCTCAATTTTACCCGAATCATGAAACAAAAACCCTATATGTATTTAAATAAATTCCCTATAAATTCTTGATTATGGAGAACTGTCGGATTCGTCCGAATCACTTACAAAACGATGTATAGTTATGACGAATACTCAAAAAAAAAAAAAAACCAATTTCGAGGAAGAAAAAACCGGTTTTGAACCGGATATTCTGATAACAAAACCGGTTTCAATACCCTATACGAATATCATAAGAAAGCTAATAAACCAATACACTATTATTTTAATATACGGTTTAAAAATATTGAAACTCGAGGAAGAAAGAACCGGTTTTCTAAAATGTTTAATCGGATATTCGGATAATAAAGACCCTACATATCATTAGATATCTAATAAACAAAGGCGCTATTACCAGTTTAGTTATTTTAATACCCGGTTCAAAATTTTTGAAACTCGGTTCTTTCTTCCTCGATTTTCGTACGATTCATTTACTTAAATATATATATATATATAACTTTAATCCAAATACACAATGAAACAAATTTCGAGGAAGAAAGAACCGGTTTTCTAAAATTTTGAACTGGATATTCTGATAATAAAACCGGGTTTAATACACTATATGTATATCATTTGAAATCTAATAAACAAACGAACCAAAGTTATTGAACCGGACTAATAGCGGTTTAATTATTTTAATACCCGGTTCAAAAGTTTTGAAACTTGGAAAGAAAGAACCCGGTTTCTGAAATTTTCAATCGGATATTCTGATAATAAAACCGGGTTTTATACCCTATATGCATATCATTAGAAATCTAATAAACCAAGGTTAATTATTTTAATATCCGGTTCAAAATTTTTGAAACCTTGTTCTTTCTTCCACGATTTTTGTCCGAATCATTTACTTAATTGAATATAAATTTAAGCCAAATACTAAAAAAACAAATTGAGGAAGAATGAACCAGTTTTCAACAATTTTGAACCGGCTATTCTGATAAAAAACGGTTTTAATACTCCTATGTATGTCATTAGAAAGCTAATAAAAAAACGCCCTAAATTTATTGAATCGGCCTAATATCGGTTTTAATATTTAAATATTCGATTGAAAAAAATTTTGAAATCCGATTCTTTCTTCCTCAAAATGTTTTTTTTTTTTTTTTTTTTTTTTTTGTATTTGTCATAATTATATACGTTTTTAGTAAATAGTAGGGACCCCGTTATATGGGTTTGGATAGACCTCACTATCTTGATTTCAACGGGCGGCCATGTTTAAATTGACATAGAGATTTATTCTGAACATGAATATATACTCTAAACCAGGGTCAGGCAAAAAACCGTTTTTATGCTCTTTTTCACACAAATTACTCTCAAAGAGAGCAAGCGAGTGGGAGTTTTCCTGATGCGTCCCTAAGGCATATTTGTTGAATACTGTAGGAGTCTAGATGCTCCTTTATAGAAGTTCATAAAGACTTTTAATAGGAGTCTATAAAAACTCCTTTATAGGAGTCTATAAAGACTCCTTTATATGATTCTACAAAGAATCCTTTCTAGGAAAGTGTAAAGACTTCTTTATAGGACTCTATAAAGGCTTGTTTACAGGAGTCTGTAAAGACTACTTTATAGAGGTCTATAAATACGAATATATAGGAGTCTATAAAGGCTCCTTCATAGGAGTATATAAAGACTAATCTATAACGACTCCTTTACTGGAGTCTATAAAGGTTCCTTTTATGGGGGTTTATAAATAATCCTTTTATAGGGGTTTATAAATACTCCTTTATAGGAGTTTATACAACACCTTTATATTTCTTTATATTCTTAATCCATTGTTTTAGGGGAATATCCCCATAGTCATTTTGTCCTCAGGAATATTGCTCTAAAGGTGGTTTATTGCCTCCATGTTTAACTAATTGTAATAGATTACAATGATCATCCACCTTCCCCCTATCCGCCACCTGGCGATCTGCCCTAATGAAACTGACAAACTCCCTCATTTATTTAGCCGCTTTTGCCCGCATTTACTTAAGGGAACCCCCCATTCTCGATTTTAATTTTTCAAGATTTTCAATGGGCTGGTAAATCAATACCAATGCTTGTTAAGGTTTGTAACTTTACACATATATAATTGAAGATTTAAAATAGAAGAAAAATAATTTACAAAAAAATTTTGTTGTTGTTTTTTGTAATTAAAGAAAAGTCCTTATTTTTGATGGCGGGCACGATAACTCCTCACTGGAACATCGGAATCCGAAAATTCCAACGGTGTTAGAAAGAGTACATGTCTGGCTCTCGTATGAACTAGGATTATTGACTTCGCTCTAAAATTAACAAAATGGCGGACCTTTAAAAAAATATTTTTGGAAAATCGCCGATTTTTTACCAAAACCCAAGTTAAAAAATAAGGAAGATCTTCACCGATTGGTTTTATCCTAGTTCATACGATAGCTATACACTCACAGAGAAACGTGTAAAAATTTGAAATCGATTGGGTTATTAGTTTTTGAGTTATCGTGCCCGCCATTCGCAAAAAAATGTTTAGAGAAAAATGCGTTTAAAGTTTGAGAAGCCCTTCAGTCGTCACTTGATGCTGACACAATAAATCGGCTATACCTTCAAGAGTTCTTGAGATTTTCATTTGAAATTTTGTAGGCACATTCTATAATTAGTGTAGATTCGAATTATATCAACAACATTTTTGACCCCGAGAATGGGTGGGGTCCCCTTAAGTGCAGGATGAATGTCTTTTATTTAATCCTATTAAATTTGGCACGACTGTATATGAAAGTGCTCTTATACAGGTCTGGTTCATCAGTTAGTTCTTACTTTAAAATCAGTTTCATATAAAACTTATAGCATCACATTTTCAATTCAACACAATTATATTTCCACATACTTTTTCTAATTATTTAACTGTTTTACAACCTTCATCTCTAATAACAATGTTCGAATAGTTTCTAACACCTTGTAGAATATGTTAGGAATAAATCTGAATTAAGCGACTTTACATTGCCCGTTATATATCTATATTTTCTATTACTCGTACTAAATTTTTCTCATTTATTTATTACATAGAAACTACTGAACGTTATTTATACAAAAAATAATTTCTTCTAAATGTTGATCTTATTTTTTTTTATTTTGTAATATTGTTGAATATTAAGACCAGAATAAAATTTTGAAAAAATTGTTTCTTACTTAAAGTATAAAAGAAAAAAAATTATCATTAATTTATAAAGTAATTAATAACTAATTATTAACTAAAACTAATGTAAGTGATTATAGATACAAACAAAATATTTATATCAATACTAAAAAATTAAAAACAAAAGAAAAAACTATATACACACAGATATTGGCCTTTAATTTTTTGTCTATTTTTTAAAATA